CTTCTCTCGGCAGCCAGGAGGGGGCGCCGCTGCCCGCTCTTGCCGCCGCCTCTTGAGATCAGGTCCAGCCTTTGGCAAACCTGTGCAGTTTATCTAGTGCTCATTATGTACCAGGTACTATTCTACCTGCAAGCATTACCTCCCTTTCCCTCATAGAGGCTGAGGCACTGACAGGTTAAGTAACTCAAGTTTGAAGAGCTAATGATTCAACCCCAGGCCTGGCAGTATTGTTCCCAAGGTCAAGTTCACAGCCACCCCTCACCACTCCACCTCTTCTGAAAAGAGAGTCTGCCCATCTTTCTCCTGCGGAGAAGCCAGTGACTCGAACGGAGCACCTTTGACTTGGCATCACGCAAGTCCTTGCCACTGGGCCGCCACAGCTCCCTTACATGTACTGTTGTTGTGTACAGTTGAATCCGACCCTCCAGCTGGTTTTCAGAGGTAGTTAATAGCAGGAAAGAAGGAAGTAGTCCATCTTGTTCCCTAGAGCAGCTGGATTTGAACCACTTGATTTAGGGATTGCTTCTTACCAGTAGGCCACTAGAACTCCCTTACTATATACCTGTTCTGTTGTATAACATAGAGTCAGAACTGACCCATAGCTGACCCTCCAGTGGGTTTTCAGAGGCAGTTAATTGCACAGAGGAGATTGCCCATCCTTCTCCCGCGGAGTTTACGTATTTTATTTCACTTGATCTTGCTTTTTGTTAAACTACAGTTATCCTCAATTCAGAGCTCAGGTGGCTAGTGCATTCCGCATGCTTTCCAGATTGCACTACAGCTTCTTGCCCAGAACTCAATCAAAAGGAGAGCCTTTGAAATCCACCAGCTGCTTAAGGCAAGAGACGGGCAGTCTTGGTAAAGATCACAGCCTCAGAAACCAGATGGAGGATTGCACGGGTCAGAATCAACTGGACAGTGCGTTTGAGTCTGGTTTATTCTCCCTTTGCAGAGGGGAAAATTGAAGCTCTGAGTGGTGGGGTTCTTGGGGCTCTTACCTGTGATTTTTCACTCACTGTTTACTGGGCCACTTGCCTGTCGAGAACTGTGCCTGCCTATAGCCCAAAGTTATGACCCCCAAAGTTTCCAACTGACTGATCTGCCCAGCACACGACCAGGCACATGCTTCAGGCACCTGCACCAAAGAGTTGGTTGGTTGGTGTTTCAAAAACCTATAGACAAAACTACTGTTGGAGGTCCTTATACTCATGGTCTTATGGTGTTTTTATTTTTGAACTAGGGTCAGGGTACCATAACCTTTCCAAGGCTGTCTTCAGAGTATCTTCATTTATCTAGGGAGCTCTGGTGGCCAGTCTCCCAGGGCCTCTTCCCCCACCATGCCACTCACCCTGCACTCGCATACGTCTGTGCCTTTGAACACATGTCCCTTCTACCAAGAACTCTTCAGTCTAGCCCCATCATCCTTCTAGGCCCAGCACCCGCTCCTTTAGTAAGCTTTCCCATGGAGATGCCTTGCACTTGCATCTCCCGATCCTATAATATGGTGGCTGAGACTGTGTCTAGGGAAAGACTGGTTTCATAGGGCCCTTTCTGGGGGCCATGTGCGTATGGATGGAGGGGCTTGGAGGCTCCTTTAATCACACCCCAGGACCCTTCACGGGCTGCTGAGTGTGTGGAAAGGAATGAAGGGGGAATAGGATTCATCAGCAGTGTCTCATGTGAGGACAATCCCCTGCTTGTCTTCCATGTGAGGAGGGAAATCCAGATCAGACAACTTGTCAAGGGGTCCCTAATTAGGCAGCCACGCTGCCGGGCCTGTCTGCCATCCTCTCTCACCGACTGGGATGGGCTTCTCCTTTCGGATGCAGCACCATGCCCGGCTGTTTAATCTGCCGTATGTGGGTGGATGCTTCACACATGACTAGCATGAGTATGTGCGTAAGAACACTAGGAGTTCATCCTCCTACCTCCCATGGACCTTTTGGTACTATGTGACCCTCCAGTACTGGATAAGGGGTGGGTCTTTGAGCTAATAAGGGGTCAGATAGGCGAGGCTTTGTATAGGAGGCCTGGAGCCAGCCTTTGAAGTTTCCTTCTGTCTAAAGTGGGCCCTAATCTCAATATCTCTGTCCCCGCCCACTTTCTCACTCAACCTTGCCTGCACACCTCTGCACATTCAGTAGGGGAGACCCTCCAAAGTGCCCCCCACAGTCCTTTTTCCTCTTGTGACTTGTCCTCTAATCCCATGGAATGTGGCCTGCTCATAGACTCCCCGAGGAGGATGGCCTTTCCCCTCTGCCTGGGGGTCCACGTCTAAAAAGGCCTTGTTCCTGCGGGAGGGATGTTTTGAGCATGAGCTTCCCTCCCTGGAGTGGGCAGGTGGGGCTGGGAGGGATCAGATCCCCTGCCAGGGAAGGCCCCTGGGGATGGAGCAACAGCTGTGATGCTGGGCCAGGAACCTGACACCAGGGGTGGGCCCCAAACACCCTCCAGGAGACACTGGGGGCTGTGGTGGGCTCAGGCTCCCAGAGAGCAGCCACAGCTTCAGGCAGCCTCCGATTTTCTTGGGGTGTGATCCCTCCTCTAACCAGTCCCTGCCACATCCTCCCGTGGCACCACGTGCCGCTTTCTTTGGGCAGCAATTAAATTTCCTCCCAGTTTTCTTTGCCTGGGAGCTTCCTCCATCAGCTAACCACCAACCCTGAGCCTCTGTCAGTCCACCTTCTCCAGTCCTTGAGGGAGGCGCTTCAGGATCCCACGGGGGGGTGGGGGGGGGGACGGGACTGGGAGGTGCCCCTCTTGGCTTTGCAGTGTGATTTCAGTGGCTGCGTGTCCTGTCATCGCAGGCTATTAACTTCTGAGCCTCGGTTCCCCCTCTGAGAACCTGGCCTGGCCTGAGAAGTGTCCTGGAGGAAGGAGATGGCAGTCCTCACTGTCCTGGGGTTCCCTGCTCTATCAGGCCACCCAGACCCCGGAACAGGCTATGAACACAAGGCTCTGGCAATGGCATGGGACATAGCTACTCAGGGGATTCTGAAGCCACTAGGTTGGGTCAACTGCAAAGCACTCCACAGCCCATGGGGGAAGGAAGGAGCCTTGTAACCCACTTCTGCCTATTGGGGGGTAAGAGAGAGGGGAAGCGAAGGAGGGCTGCAGAGGAAGAGAAGGTTTTGTGTGCTGCCCCGTCAATCTGATGCATAGTAACCTTATAGGATCGGGAGCTCTGCCTAATGATGCTGTTGGTGTGCCATCGCCTTGGAACCAACTCACAGCTGAGCCTCCCGAGGGTTTCAGAAGCAGGAAATCGCATGGGAGAGGAGGCAGCACCGTTAACCCAAAGGGGACGCCTGTCTGATGGTGTGAATCCACCAGTGGTGTGAGAAAGATGGGCAGTCTCCCCCCGTGTGACTTACAGCCTCTGAAAACCCACGGGAAGGTCAACTATACATCAGTTCTGATTGGACAGCAGTGCGTTGAATGGAGTTGCATCTTACAGGAATGGATTACCAGGTCTTTTCTTCTGTGGACCTTGAAGGAGTGAGGGGGGAAGTGGTGTTTCAAACCTTTCTACTTTTCTCTTAACTTCAGCCCCCAGGAGGGGAACAGGAGGGGAGAGAAAAGGCAGGAGGGAGATTGCTCGCTCTTCGCTCATGGAATCGGAACAAACTCCCAGCTGAGCCTTTGCTGGGTTTCTGAGTCAGGACGAGATTGCCCAGCTTGTCCAGCTTCCTTCCTCGTTGGAGCCACTGGTGGCCTCAAACCAACTGAGGGGCACGGCTGACTTTTGGGTTAGCAGCACAACTCCCAGAGGGCTGCACTACCAGAACTCCCTAGGAGGGGAGACCAGGAGGGAGGGAAGAAGGGAGGGGGAAAAGAGGGAAAGAGAGAGAGAGAGAGAGAGAGAGATTTTAACCCAGATGGGCAGCATGTTAGGGATAAAGTTGTAAGACTTGGAGAAATGGTCCCCAAATCACTGGTGCAACCTTGACTCCCTGCAGGCCTGGGAGGAGCCTATGTGCTGAAGAAGGACCTGGAATCAAAATGCCAGTGGGTGCTTTAGTATGTTGGCAATGAGTTGGCCACAGGCTGCAGCAATGTTCTCACCATCCTCTCAACCACCTACTGCTCAGAGGGCCTGTAAAACTCTGGTTGATGGTGGGAGAACTGAACACAGTAGCTGATTCCTAATCCCACACAAAGTTCCTCTCCGTGGGAGCCCCCATAATAGGCTACAGCAGAAAGAAGGGCAGAGGAGCAGGTTTGGATAACAGGCGCCTTAGGTACTCAGGAAGCCAGGTCTGGCACAGAACCCCAGCTAGCACTGGTCCCACTCAGAGAGAGCTGCTGTTGTCACATATTGTTGAGTTGGAACCGCCTCATAGCTGACCCTTCAGTGGGTCTTCAGAGGCAGTTAACTGCATGGTAGGTGACTGCCCATCTTTCCCTGGCAGAGCAGCTGGTGGATTCAAACCACCTGCCCTTGGGTTGGCAGTACAACTCCTTACCACTAAGGCACCAGAGCTTCCTGCTCAGAAAGAAAGAGACCCTAAAAAGTCAGGGCCTTGCTCCTTGGAAACTAAGAAAAGGGATGGTCCTGCAGAAATGCCCACAGAAACAGCAGCCACAGATGTTCTGAGTGGGGGAGGCCCTGTGGTGGGACACACTGGTGGCCCAGGGCCACCTGTGAAGAACTACTGAAGTTCCAAAACTTGCCAACGATTTCCAATGTTTTCATGTTTTATATAACTTAGAGAATTGTCAAGGATATCCTATAAAGACAGCACTCGTGCTGACCTGAGTAATAAAGTGCTTTGTGGGAGAGCTGGCAAAGCGTGACCCGTAGGTACGTGTCCAAGAAGAGGTAACTCAACAAATGTCTCAGCAGACAGTGTCCCGCTGGGGAGCCTGTGGTCCAGAGGGGGAAGGAGCTCACCCCGAGTGCTGGTGAGAAGGCTCGAGTGGCTGGCCCACCCATGCCTGCCGTCTGTGGACCTGCCAGCCAAGTGTGAGAAAGTGCTCCGGGGAGGCCAGGGGCCTCATCAGGCCTCTGCGTCCCCCTCGCCTTCATCCTCACTCATGCAGCTCTTGGGTGCTGCTCGGTCCCTGGAGGCCTGGTTCTTCAAGTACTCGGCTTTGAGTCGCTCCAGCTTCTGGAGCTCAGCCTCCAGCCGCTCTCGGTGGGCTGTGCGTAGCTGTTGCAGCTGCTTCATCCGGAAGGGGTTCATGTCATTGAAGGCGATGTTCGTCAGCTTCCTGGGGGAGGGTGGTCAGCTGGAGCAGTGTCCCACCTAGCCTCGTCCACCCTGCCTTCCCAGACCCCCTGTGGTTGAGGACCCCCATGGACGTGGCCAGAGCCCTGCCTCCACCCCAGAGGGAGAACACCTTCCAGCCCCAAATACCACTTAGGGTGCTAAGCACTGAAGCAGAGGAAGCTCTTGGAAGCAGGGAGCCCACCCCAGGAAGGGAAGGGAGCCTGACCAGTAAGACAAGGCTTTGAGAGGCAGGTAAGGAAGACTTAATCAGAAGGAATCATGAGGATCAAAATCCAGAGGTGAGAATTATTCGAGAAACTCAGACAGTTCTGTTTGGTAGTATCATAGGATACTGATATGGGAGGCAGATGAGGATGGGGGCATCGAGAAGTGAAAGTGCACAGAGCCCTCACGTGCATGTCAGAGGCAGCAGGACCACCAAGGCAGTGGCTTCCCTAAGGGGTTCTTGGCTGTGATGGGGGATCAGCGTAACTAATAAGCCTCCACGTAGCAGCCTTTGTGTTGAGTCTGAGCCACGTGTTTGGGGGCAGGGGGAGGGTTGGGCGGGAGGTGGTGGTAGATTCTCACCGGCTGTTGCAAATGGTCTTGGTGAAGAGGCGCAGGTACTGGTAGATCTCCAGGCTGTCCTGCAGCCTCAGGATCTCCTCCTCCTTGTACTTGAAGATGGCCAGGGCGTAGCGGAACACCACCTGGGGAGCAGAGTGGGGGCTCAGGCAGGTATGGGGGCTGGCAATTAGCAGGGGGGGTTAGGGCAGATCACTGGGGTACTCAAGGGGGTGGGTAAGCATTGAGCTTGGAATTGGGGGGATCTAAGTGAGGTGTCCCAGCTGGACCCAGTAGGGATAAAACCATGTCTTTACATGGAACTTGGGCAGGAAGCTAAGGAAGTAGCAGGTGCGAGGTGCCCTGTAGCCATAAGGAGCATTATTAAGCAGTGGAACATGGGCTGGGACACTGGGAAGGGCCTGTCCAGGGTCTCCCAGCAAGGTCAGTGGCAGAGCTGGCCCAGACCTCAGCTCCAGCCTCCTGGTTCAGGGCTCAGTGTAAATCAGAGGAAGAGCCCAGGTGACTGGGGAGCAATGGATGAAATGGTGATGTGATCCCTGGTCAGGCTCATGCTGTCTTCTGGGCGGGGCTCCCCAACCTGAGGAAGCAACCTTCCGAGGAGTTCCACCATGTTCCCGTGTGAGTCCAGGCACTTTACAGTTCACAAAGCGGTGCTCAGGACTGCCCTCCACAGCCCTGAGAGGGAAATGCTGCCTCCCTTCCCAGGGCAGGGCAGAGGTCCCTCTCGGCATTACCTTACCTTGGTTCCCTCATACAGGAGGGCATCCCAGACCCGTAGGAAGATGTCACTGATGAGGCTGTCCACGAAGATCACAAGGAACCAGTTGAAGGTGATGAGGGAGAGGTCCACGTGATGCTGCCCGAGGTGGGCCATCAGCCGGGGCAGCTTCTCTGAGAGGAGGTCCTGGAGTACCCGCTGGTCCACCTGAGCCAGTGAGAGGGCCGGTCACCTGTCACTGCGGGAAAGGGGCCACCTCCTTCCCACCGTCAGCTGACCCAGTCCTGAAGCTGCTGAGTGTGTCCTGCCCTGTCCAGTGGACAAGCTGGACCCCAGGCTGCTGGGAGACAGTGCACTGTGCACTGAGACATTACTCTGCAGCTGCCCTCACCCAGGTGGGCAACTTTCTGCACAGGAACGATCAGACTTTCAAAAGGAGGTCTATTGGCTGGCAAGTTCCCAGCCAGGGGAGTGTTGGCTTCTCAAGGCAAACAGCCTTTAGTAAAGAAATTAGTCTTCAGGGTGAAGTCTCTCTCAGGGAGGAGTGATAGGGAATGGCAAAGGACACACTGACAAAGAAGATTAATCAAAACTGGCTTTGACAAGCACTGTGGCATTTGGACAAGAACAAACTGGGAGGAGGGTAGAGAGAATAGTGCAACAATGAATGAGTGGAAACCCAAAATCTCTGTAAATGTTTATGAAAATTAATAAAATATAATTATAGAAAAAAAAAGAAATTAGTCTTGTGCTCAAAGGCTCTGGGGAACATAAGGGGTACTTTGTATCTGCTCCTCTACACCTTCTTTCTGCCTGGCACACAGGGGGAAGATGCTGGGGATCATGCTGCACATTGGAGGTCTTCTGGCTGCCAGGGCTGTCCGCGTGACCACTCTCTCTCTCACTTGACCCTGTCTGTAACTCCGTCATTGGCTCTTTGGCTTTACTGTGGTGTTCCTTTACCTCGGGGATGACCTCATCTTAGTCTCTTTTTGCTTTTCCTTTGCTGGACTGCAGGCTTCTAAAGCCTCTCCCTCAGCTGTGACAAACACCCAGCAGCTCCTCTCCCTCCTTCCTTACCCAGAGCCCCAGGCCAGCTGTGAAGGTCAAGTGTCTAGATCGGTCATAAAGCACGTCATTCATTGACCCAGTGATGGCCACTGAAGGATTCACAGATGAACTTATACAGCGCCCGAGATAAACTTCAAGATCATTCGAGGAGAAGTAGCGGGCAGGAATTGAGCTGAAATAAGACTGGCTAGGTGTTGAGTTATTAAAACTCTGTGATGCTGACTAGGCCATTGTATCCTGCTGTCAACCTGAATTATAACCTTTTGACTTCCCTAATAAATAACCATAATTGGGGGGAGAAACCCCAACACAACAAGAAAACTAGGCGATGGATCATAGAGGCTCATCATATAGTGAAGCCTGTGAGAGCTGGAGCTGGGTGGGATAACCTTGCTTTTCTAGGTTTTGCAAGTTTTTCACTTCAGCCTTTGATAAATTTTCTGTTAATGAAAAATATTTGAATTTTCCTTCGCTGACAGTTTTCTTCCTTATACTGAGTCCTGCTTTTGGCAGGTTTTACTATGCTATTTTCCCTATTTCTTGCATGTTTGAAGTTTTCCATAATAGACAATAGTGAAAAAAATTAAAACCCTGAATGTGCTTCATACTTTCATTTCAAAGATGTTAAGTCATAGGAAGAAAAAAAGATGATACCTATCCCAGCATGACTTGTGACTAGCAGTAGCCATGTTGAACTAGCTGTAGCGCTAAGATGTGAGGAGAAATTGCTGCATGAGAGAAAGCTAACTTGGAAGGGAGTCAGCTTAGCCGGCATGTGCCTCCTGCCTTTCACCCAGTCTCTTTCCCCAGCCTGTCTATGGCCATAGTGCTGGAGGTTTAACCATTTGTGACCAGGAGGTGAGATGGCCCAGGATGACAGACACATGCCAAGAGGGCAGAGCTGAGAGCCAGAAGTCTGGTTCCTGATGGCACAGAGGGGCTCTGGGATGCTTTGTGAACAACCTGAGAAAAAGAATTTCCACTGAAGCTGCTATTAAATTGGATTTTCCTTTCTGTGCAGCCAAACACAATCCCTCACTGACTTACTACTATCTGCTGGTGATTCCAGGGTCGGCAGCCCTGATCACTCTCCTCCACTCCACACCTGAACCTTGACCTTAGATAAAAGATGGCCCTGACAATGCACTAGGGCAGGAGAAAAGGACGAGGAGGGAAGCAACGGGCCACTTACTCATTGCTGTCAAGATGGGACTCATAGAGGATTGTGGACTGGGTTTTTGAGAAGTTGTAAATCACACAGAAGGAAACGATCCATCTCTCTTCCTTGGAGTCACTAATAGGCATGACCAGCTAGAGGGGCGCTGCCTTTGGGTTAGAGGCACAGCTCCTTACGGAGTTTTGCTCCCAGCACCACCAGACTTGGTGTACAGGGTGGAAAGTGAGTAAGTTTCCTTGGGGTGGCCTCTCTGTAGCGTAGAGACCTTGACCTACAAGAATTAGGTGCGGTAGGGGTGAGGCAGCAGAATGGAAAGTGAAGACGGGTGGCAGATTTATACAGCAGTAAAGGGCAAGTAGAGGAGTCCTGGTGTAGTGTGTACCTGCTAGGCTGCTAACAGAAAGGTCAAGGGTTCAGATCTACCACCCACATCTCAAGAGAAAGAGGGGTAGTAGTCTTTCATGAAGACTTACAGCCTTGGAAACCTGGTGGAAGGTTGCTAAGAGTTGGAATTGAGTGGACAGACAGCAGCGGGGTAGGGCAAGTAGAAGTTGTGCATAAGTTGGACGTTATTCATAACTTGGGGACTGCCTGTACAGAGGCTTATCTGATGGGCCCCACTCTCACAGTTCTAGAGGCCCTCAGCACGCCAGAACCAAGGTGGTGGTGGTTGCTAGGTGCCATCAAGTACGACTCGTAGTGACCCCATAAACAACAGATCTTATCCTCTGCCATCATCATCTCTGACACACTTGAGCCCATCGCTGCAGTCTCTGTGTCAATCCACCTGGTTGAGCCTTCCTCTTTTACTGACTCTCCCTCTTTTTCAAAAGGAAAACGGAGGCCTGAAAGAACCCTGGACTTCTAAGTCTACTTATTTGTGAAAACAACTCGGGACCAACAGGTCCCGCTCCATTCCCTGCCTACTCACCTGGGACGCCGTCAGTGTCTTGCTGTAGTAGTCAGCTGGCATGATGGTCTCCACAATGGCCACCAGGCACCAGAAGGCGCTCTCCTCCTCGTCCAGGACCAACAGAGCAATGGCCGCCAGCCTGCGGGGCAAGAGGGAGGCCTGAAGTGACCAGTGTTCCTGTCCCTGCTGTGAGATGTACACCCCACTGGGGGGTATGTGTGTGTGTGTGACTACTTGGGTGATATCCAGGGCCTCCATGTCTCATCTCAATGTAAAATGGGGGTTGTTTCAGAGCAGGCACTCTGGAATCACACTACCTTGGTATGAATCCTGGTCCTAGTGTTTCCTACTGGTGATTCTGGGCAAGCCATTTAACCTCTCTGAAACTCAGGATCCTAGAATAATCCATGTTATCAGCATGAACAGAGTGAACATGGGGCCCCAGCCCAGTGCCTGGCATGTTGTGAGCTCTTTATAAATGTGATCTATCCTCATCTTAATGTTTGCTATCGTCCATGCACTACTGGTCTCTCAAGATGCTGGGTGAGCACAGGTTCCAGATTCAAAGGTGCCTAGAGAACACAGTGTAGTCCCCTCTTAGAGTTTCAGGATGTGCACCATCCTGGTAAAACCTTTGTGAAATCCTGGAGAAACAAGCCCTGTGACTCGAGCTCAGGGTGCCCAGTGTGGCCGTGGCTCTCCTCCAGGCAGCACACTGCTGAGGTCCAGGTGAACCACCAGCTGCAGACACACTTAAGGACATGTACCTTACAGCATGTAAAGCCTCAGACTCTGAATTTGAAGTTCAGAGCGTTTGAAGAGCACATTTGTCCAGATGTTTATAGTTCTCTGTCATCTTACTAGAGTAGATTCATAACCTCTAACCTCGTCTGAGGTTTCAACCTCTTTTAGAAACAGTGTGATTTGCAAAAATAATAAAGTATTTCTTCTCCCTCACAAGTACATTGGGAAAGAGTTTTGCCTTATTCTGGCTCAAATATCTGTTCAGATCCTGAATCTGGCCTGAGTAGATGGAAAGGGGATTAATCACAGGTTCCTGGGAAATAATATGACACTGTCCTCTCAGAGGGTGTGGGGCTCAAAGGCCATTTAGTTCAAGGACAGCACATAGGTGGTATACTCGCCACCACTCCTGTACCCATGGCCAAGGTAGACGTAACTAACTGTTCATGGCATTCCCTCTCACTGAAAGAGCCCAAAGGCTGCCTCAGTAACTCTCCAGACAGCGATAGAGGCAGCTGCTCTCTCAGGCTCATTCCTGGTCCATACAAGTTTGGAAAGCAAGCAACTAGCTCAAGTTCACACGGATCGGGTGAAAACAGAATGCAGCCTCAAGTCCAGCCTGGGACTCGCCCCACCTCATTTTTTTTTGTGTGTGTGTGAGTCTCAGAATGCGCTCATCTCAAGAATCGATTGCCAGAGTTTTGCACACATTAAAAGGCCAGTGAGCTACGCCGTGGGTGCCCAACAGGGCTTGGAGCTTCAGCTGGACTCCAACTAAAGGCATTCGGGCCCAAACAGGCCTGCAAAGGAGACCCTTGAGGGAGACACAACTGAAGTCAGAGAGAGAAAGAACAAATTACACTTAAGACACTCTTATATTGAGGAGATCAGAAAATACTTTTTAGGGAGCTGTTGCTGTTGAGATGGACCGGCTCACAGCTGACTTTTCACCAGGTTTTCAGAGGCTGTAAAGTGGCCCATCGATTCCCCTCAGTGCAGCTGGTGGATTTGAACTACCGGAGATGTGCCGGCCTTTGGGTTGGAAGCACAAATCCCTACAGACTACACTGCCACCAAAGGGGTATAGTATTAATTCCCCCCCTAAAGACCAGCATTAAATGATTGCTGTGGACTCTCTCATCCTCCAAAAGGGCTGGATTTTACTGCCTTAGAAACAATCTATTGAGACATCCATGGAGTTCTAACAGACGCCACTAGGTGGCGTAAGGAAATAACAGGCTCATGTTTAACGGCTTTGTAAAAAAATTTTTTTTATTTTTCATATGTGACCATCAAATCAGATCTAACTGGTAAAGGAGGATATTGCCCCTCCTTTTCCAGCAGAGCATCTGGTGGATTCGAACCGCATACCTCTGGGATGGCAGTGCAGTTTCTTGCCACTAGGCCACCAGAGCTCCCTTTAACAGCCTTTTAAAATTGAGTTTCTTCTTCTTTTTTCTCTTTTTTTTCTTATTAATTTTAATAAAAATTTACGGAAATTTTGGATTTCCATTCATTCATTGTTGCACTTTTCTCCCTGCTTTTAAATGAAATTTTATTTCCATTTTGATTTTAACATTTACACATAAGTTAGATTTTCTCTCATTTACTGTTGTGCATTTTGCCCCTTCCCCCTCCCCAGTTCACTTTTAAAATTTTTTATATTCATTGACTACTGCACAATTACCTACTTTTCCCCCACTCCCAGCCCCAATCCTCTTTATAATGCTATGTCTCTTATTCTGGCTTTCTAAAGAAAGCATTACAACTTCCACTTTTAACAGGCTTAGGAATTGCACTGCTAACCCAAAGACACTTGGCTTGAACCCACCAGCTGCTCCGTGGCAGAAAGATAGGCAATCTCCTCCCATGCAATTTACAGCCTCTGAAAACCTGCTGGAGAGTCAGCTGTGAGTTGGCTCCAACTTGAGGGTACAAAAAAAAAACCAAACCTTTCTATTTAAAACAATGTATCTCCCTGCATCACAATTATATTTGCATACACACATACATTAAAATAAAAACATTCAGAAAAAACAAAAACACGCTTTTGGTTTATCTTCCACTCTCTTGGTTTCAGTAGTTCCCCTAGCCCCTTCTGCACCTCGGTTACCTCTGTCCACTTAGGGGTGCATGCATTTCCTAGGAGGTCCATCTAAGGACTCCTCCTGCTACAGGGCAGCTTTTCCTGCCTTTTAGCAGAGACTGGACCCCAAAGCACTAACACACGGATATCAGATTAGATTCATGACTTCCAACTTCTTGCCACGTGTGTGAGGTACTGAGCTGGTCTCTTAGCCTCTAGCACCTTCTCTTGCCTCAAATGTATGTCGGGAGCACTGACGCCCACCTTGGTGCATTTCCAGGAAGATTAAATGAGGTCACGTGGGTAAAGCACCTCACATTTTGGAGTGGTCTCATTAAGTGTCTTCTATATGAAATGCAAAAATGAACAACAGTTTATATTAATCTCAAAGATTTCAGTCCCTTCCAAAACTATTTATTTAAAAAAGTGCTATGTAATCTTACCTCCTTTTGGATTTTATCATATTTAATTACTTGCTATGCATGTGAGTGCTGGATAATGAATAAAGATAACAGAAGAATTGATGCCTTTGAACTGTGGTGTTGAAGAAGAGCATGAGTATCCCATGGACTGCCAAAAGAACAGACAGATATGTCTTGGAGAAGGTGCAGCCAGAGTGCTCCTTGGAGGCAAAGATGATGAAGCTTGTCTCACATACTTTGGGCATGTTGCTAGGAGGGGCTATCCCATGGAGAGGGATATTCTGCTTGGAAAGGCGAAGGACGAGTTGATGAAAGAGAGGAAGACCCTCGATGAAGTGGATTGGCTCAGTGACTGCAGCAACGGGCTCAACTGTGTCAGAGATTCACTGTGAGGATGTGAAGGATAGGACAGGGTTCAGATCTGTCGTTCAAAGGGTTGCTATCAGTCACACTTAACTTGATGACACTTAACAATGACAACATGTTCACACAGATGAAACACACACAGAGATACCTCAAAGATAGTATGGGTTTGCTTCCAGGGACTGCAAAAAAGTAAATATTGTAATGAAGTGAACCACTCAAATGTCCTGGTTTCCCAGTGCACAGAAATCTATGTTCCCACTGTATTGTAGCCTCTTCAGTGTACTGTAACTATAACATGATGAAAGATATGAATTACTGTGAGAATTAACAAAATGCAGCACAGACACAAAGTGTGCATGTGATGTTGGATAAATGCACCAATACACTTGCTTGATGCAGGGTTGCCACAAACATGCAATCCGTGAAAAAAGCAGTATCTGCGAAAGATGGTAACATGAGGTATGCCCTGCAGGCTTTTTGCTCAGCTGTGAAGGAATGAATGTACGAATGGATACATTTCCACAGAAGTCACCTGTAGCAAATACAGCAGCATGAAATTGGAACATATGCTTAGATTAGCATGGAATCGGAATATACTTTCTTAGACTGAGAGGCACTATTGTGCTGTAACTCAGAATTTTCAGTAATTGTACATATAAATGCTTAATTCCAATCCAATTTTAGGCTGGAAATAAAATATCAAAAAGAACTATCTTTGGGGACCATTCATACTTGAGTAAGGACACTTTGCATATTCATTATGTTAAATAAGTGCCACATGCTGCCTCTTCTGGGCTAAAAAGAAGGGCTTGTGTCAGTCTGCCTTGAGTTGGCTCAAACCCTTTTAAATGAAACTGAGTCAAAATCTGCTGTGGGAAATATCTGAGATGATGTCAGCTTCTGGCTCGGCAGGGATCAGAGGGGTGGGGTTTTCTGGTGATCTGATCCATTCTATCCCGAATCTTCTGGTCCCCATAGATTAGACCAGAGTGGAGAGCTAACCTAAGTCAGACCGATCAGATTCCTCTTCGAGGGAATTTAGGATTGAAATGGTGGGCCTAGGCCTGAAAGAACCAAGACTTGGAGACTTTCTATTCTGACAGCCTCCATGACACGTGTGGGCTTAAACAAAGCAGGGACTATGAGGACGGGTTGGGTTCGGCCAGAGCTTTGCTGCTGTCCACAGGATTGCTAGGAGGTGGAGCAACTTGGAGGCATCTAACACCAACACAACACAACAAACTGTCCTTAACTGCCACAGAATGAAGGGACAGAGAGACTGGTCTGCTAAGAGAAGGAAGAAGTCTAGGAAAAGGACATAGACTGGGAAGTTCGAGGACAGCTGAACAGCCCCGCAGAGAACATGCGTGAACAGCCTCCCTGGGCTGTGCAGAGCTGTGACCATGCTGGAGGGAGCAGATGCTGTGGATCCCAAGGACCATCTGTCTCCAGCTCTGTCTTCCTTTCCTGGATTTTGTAAGCTCCCATGGACCATTTACAATTTCCCTTTGCCTTGGGCTCCTCTGAATGGGCTCCTACTACTTTTGAGAGAACAATCCCTGACCATCACAGCAGTCAATGAGCAGAGCTGTACATGACACACTCCAAGGGGCCGTTCTCAGGCTTCCGATGGTGGTGACACCCCCTGGAGCGCTCGTCAAAGGACAGGGCCTGGGACTAGGAGTTCATGAACTCAGGGTGGAGGCCCATCCCTGCCCCAAATATGTCCTTTCACCCACCTGATCCTACCTGTCTAGTGGGATGTAGCCTCCAGAGCCCACTTCTCTGGGCTGTTGGCATACTCCCAAGAGACAAGGCGTAGAGAGTGTTCTCTGCCAGGGTTAAAGCTGGGCCCTTGCTGGATGGACAGTGGCTCACCTGTTCAGTCCCTGGCAGTAGCCGATGGTGGGGTTCTGCCAAGAGAAGGCCAGCAGCACCCGGCGGAGCTTGTCGGGGAAGTTGGAGGTGGGACAGGTGAAGTGCTTGTTGTTGGGGAAGGTACGGTTCAGGTCCAGCTCGATCTGGCGGGCAGCAAGGTGCTCACAGGCCTGGCTCTGGCTCAGCAGCTTCTGATAGTGGCCAGGGACCTGCAGGTGCTGCACGCGGAGATGGACAAGCCACCTCCAGACCCGTGGCCGGTGCTCTGGGGGCACACCTGCCCGCAGGAGCTGCTTGAGCTCAGCGGAGGGGGTGAGCTCCCCCAGGGCAGCCCAGCGCTCGCGCAGCAGCTGCTCCTCGTGAGCCAGCAGGTGATGGGAGCGGACCTCCAGCACCTGGATCTTGGCCAGCAGCTTCAGGTCTTCTACCTCATAGTCAGGCACCGCCAGGAAGCCGTACTCATCATACTCACTGTCAGAAAATGCTCATGTTAGAATGACTCGCAGGACGCTCTCCTGGACAGGGACACCAGGGTCAGCAGAAAGGGACCCTGGGCAAGGGCTCCCAGCTCATGAGGCCTAATCTCTGCCCTTGATTCACTGCAGATTAGCCATGCAGCTCTGAGTAGGTCATGTCAGTTCTTAGAATCTCAGTTTACTCTTCTGTGTAATGGGCATAGGAATTTTTGTACTGTCTCCTGAAGACTCAGTGAAGATTCTCGGGGGGCCTGGGTAGTACCTGGTAGCCAGTGGGTGCTCATCTGATTTCTATGCGCATATAGAGGGTCCTTTTATGATTATATGCAGCCTTTGGACTAAGGAGTCCTGTACTGTTCATACAGAAGCAGCGATAGGGAACAGAGAGCACCACAGGCATATAGAAATGAGAGCGCTGGGGACCCCTTCCAGATGGACTTCCACGTCACTGATACTTACTGTTTTCTGCTCTGTGTCAGGCAAGTGCTGTCTCACTGACTCTTAATCATTCTGTAAAGTACAGGTCACAGCCCATACTTTTTGGAGGCTAACAGGCTTAGAGAGAGCCAGTGGGGCCTGTCCAAGATCTGAAGCTGGCTCCAGAGCGTGAGCTCCTGGCACCCCAGCCCCAGCCCTTCAACTGTATCTACTTTCCCAAGTGGCTTGCCTGTTGTCTTCACTGCCCTTTCTCTGACGAGCACCTGTGGGAGGCCACTGCGGCAGTAGAACACACAGGCTCTGAGTTAGGCCATGTCCTGCTGAACCAGTGTGCGTTCTGGCCTTGGGCAAGGGGCTGCCTCCTCTGGCCCTGCTCCTCCTCCTCAGCTATAAATGGGGCTCACATGAGCCTCCTCTAGGGGTATAAGGAAGCTCTGCTGGTCTATTCGGTGAGGACTTATGCTACTAACCCAAAAACAAGTAGTTCAAATCCACCAGTTGCTCCAAGAAAGAAAGATGTGCAGTCTCTTTTTGTGCAATTTACGGTGTCTGGAAACCCACTGGAGGGTCAGCTATGAGGTGGTCTGACATGATGGCCGTGAGATGAGTTTTTTTCAGTTGAGTGGCATAATTGGTTATGTATTATGCCACTAACCAAAAGCCTAGAGGTTCAAATCCACCAGTAACTCCATGGGAGATTGAGGGGCAGTTTCTTCCCATCTCTCCTGATTTGATGGGGGTGGGTCTGATTTTTGGTTTGGCTGATTCACACTGGCTTATTTGAGCAGAGATGCTAAGGAGATGCTGTAATGGCAGCAGGGCCCCTGAGGTCCTATGGAACAACCACCACTGCTGGGCTCACCTGATGGGGCTCAGCCCCACGCTGTCAGCCACGGCCTCACTGGCCTCCCACTGCAGTGCCTCCTGGATGAGCTGCCCTAGCAGCTCCGAGCCCTTGCTGGCCTCGTTCCCCATGGCCTCCTGCAGCCTCCGCAGCCCTGTCAGGTACTTGCTCTCCAGCTGGCAGTTCTTGGCTTGGAGGTAGGCACACTGCAGGAGAAAGGGTGTGGCTGGTCAAGCCAGCTGGTTGGGCTGGAAATGCCCTGCAGGACTGAGGCCTGATAGCTCTTCCTCCAGCTCTCATCACCCGTCCTCTCCCCACTCCCAGAGCAAGACAGAGGGACTCCAGGCAAGAGGGCACCAGGCTGAGGCTGGGTTCAGAGGAAAGGGGTTGAGAGAGGGCAGGGAGTAGCTCTTGTGTGACCTGCAGTCCTGCTCTGGTCCAGCCCCCTGCTAGCTGGGTGGCCTGTGGTAAGTACTTAACCTCTCTCACCTTAACTTCCTTCCTGGAAAAATGGGGATTGTGCAGACTACCTCAGGGTTCTGGGAGCATCAGGCAAGCTAAGGTGTGTAAAGCCTTTTGCAGGGTGCTGGGCCACAGCACAACCTGGGAGAGGTCTACGGGGCAGTGGCCTGGGCTGAACACTCGGCTCTGAACACTGCCCTTGTGCCCTGTTCTGCGACACAGGCTCTTCCTGCCCCGCTGACTGCACTACTCCCACCCTCGGCTTCATGTACATTCAGCTTTTGTCGGCAATGCTCCCCTGGCCTCAGCCTCCTGTGTTCTAACATGGTTAAGGTGTTGCTGGGGGTAAGGGAACCTCTCCAAGCCTCCAGTCCTTCTTTGTTGGCTGGGATGGAAACATCAGCTGCCTAAGTGCTGCTGTGGCCCAAGCGGTTCTGGCTCCTGTCACCTGAGGTGGCAGTGCAGGCACGTCACCAGTATGACAGCACCAACTACGAGCCAGCCTCCATGCCTCTTCTCCCAGCTGTTCCACCTTGTGCCCGCCTGCTTCCCTCCATCTCCAGGGCTGCCTCCTGAGTGCCATCCCCAACACCCTTTCCAGGGATTCAGGGATCCTGCCACAGCTTGCCAAGCTCCCTATGTTCTAGCCCAAACTGTCCAAGTCCCCCCTCTGTGGGGAAGCCACAGCAGTTTTTTCAAACCACAAATCCCACTGAGGACTTCTCGATGCTTTTTGTCACTGCTTGGATAACGCCAACTCATCTGTAGGGCTTAGATGAAAAACCACCTTTGCCAGGAGGACTTCCCTGACTTCTCTTCCCCACTTTAGACCCCTAAAGAACTGTCTGTGGCCTCTCTAGGCAGCACTTGAGTTTACTTGTCTCAGTGCCCCTGTGCATTGGTGCCCAGTGATACTGTGTTCAGAGATGACTCAACCAGCCAGATGGCAGGGATTGGAGAAGAGTGGATGCTGACACAGACTTTGCTCATAGAGAGCTCAGTGCAGAAGAGCAGAGTGAAAATGAGACAGTGTGACAGTGCTGTGAGACAGGGCTGGGACCTACGGGCTGGGAGTGGAGATGGCAGGACCTAGCTCTGGGCTCTCACCTTCGTCAGTAGGACCTTCTCCTTCTCAGCCACCGTTCTCCAGATCTTTGTGACCTGATGGATCTCAGAGTTGAGGAAGCGGTTCTGGGTCCGGTAAGCTTCCATGTCATCCTGGGGAGGAGGAAACAAGATCATTCTATGAGTCACATTATGAACATTTTCCTGGTCCCTAAACAATCTGCCACACTTCCTTCAGCAATTTTCAATAATGACAACAGAAAAGGAAGTTTAAAAGGAAAAAAAAAACCCAAGCAAACTCAACTACCAAAAACCCAACCCTGACTGCCTTCTCTAGTCTTGATCCCAGTGTAATGGGGAGAAAGAATATGAGACCAGGAGTCCAAGCCCTGGTGCTGGGCAGTCATTGTTCTGCCCTGATCCTCAGTTTCCTTACCTGTAAAAGGGGGAAATATCAACCACTTTACTGGGAGGCTGAGAGGTGAAACGAGGTAACATGTGAGAACATCAGGCACAATAAATGAAACAGCAAGTTTCAAATACTGTTTCAAATACTGTTTGTTTTTAAAGCAAACATGTACACTTGCAATTTGAGGCAGTTTGGGGTGAAAGACTTTTCACTTAGGACCGCTTTGCAAATATTTTTCTATGCTGCTTCCTAAATTTCTCAATAATTGTCTTTAATGCCTAATAATTATTTTATTGGGTGAGTATAGCATAGTTATAATCTTTCCAGTATGTTTTTTTAAGTATTGATGTGTTTAACTTGGTATCCAGCATTGGTGTTTGTTTTCTTTTAAATAATATTTTTATTATATGTTTGGTAAAGGTTTACACAGAAAATGATCTTCCCCTTTAACAATTTCTACACATATTTCCCAGTGATATTATTTCTATTTTTCACACTAAGTCAGCGTTCTCATTATATCTATTCTGCTTGTTCTGTTGCCATTCTAGTTTCTTTATCTAGCCATGGGCTTGCATTTTACTTTCCTATTTTTGCTTTGGGGTTAATGCTGACCTTTTGGTCTCATATAGATGATTTTTTTCTCTGTTGTTTTCTGATTCACGCCCTAGCCATTTTCAGTTTGGTTTTTCTTTATAATAAATGTCTCTGTGATGATGTCCCTGAACCTAGTGTTTTCCCACTCCAACTTGTCCAGTGGAGGGAGTGAGAGCCCGGGACACACAAGGTGTGGAGAAGTTCACGGTCATGACCTGCACCTCAGGAAAGGCCCAGTTCCAGCAACAGCTCTCCACTCCTTTCTGCTGGGATGGAGCAACCCAGTCATTCAAACGTGCAACACACGCTCACAGCTGTAAGGAGCCATTCTCTAGCATTTATCAGCTGAAACTCATGTTTGTTCTCTGGCACTCAAGAAAAGGCACTGGGCTATCTGTGAGTGTGACAGATGCCATGCAGGGAAGACCTCAGGTGGGCTCCGATTGGTCTGGGCATAAAGAGCACAGCATGTAGCTGTGGCACTCCATCATCAGGGCGGGGCAGGCCCCAGGGGCGGGGCGGGGCGGGGCAGGTCCCAGGAGCATGACTTCTTGGGTGGGTATTCACTCTGATGGAGATGATCAGACCATCCAGATGGCCCGCCCAGCTCAGGTGTGCGCCCTCCATCTCCATGGCTGACACTCCGGGGCTCCTGCAGCTGGAAATGCACACTCCAGGCTGACCTCATCATGTGCCGCTCACCCCTCCACGGGGCTCTCAATAGCTCCCTCACTCTGACCTCACCCTGTTTTTGTCTTCTTGACTGTGTCTAGGCTGGAAGATTGTCTCAATCTGAGCATGCTCTCTGCTGGCTCTTGCTCTAGCCTCTGGGCCTGAACATAGAGAGATCACAGCCTTGTTTCCTAGGCCTTCCTTCCCACCCACATCTTTGCCCAGGATCTAATCCAGTCTTCTGGTGTCTCAGAAGCGCTATGGTGAGTACTAGTGATTCTTCTAAGGAAGTCGATGCCTGTTTCCCTCCCTGTCCCCACGCATCGTGCTCACGGGGAAGAGCTGTCTTGATGTGGAAGGGGATGGTGGGACTGGTAACGAGCCCCCCATTTACAGAACCAGGACTGATCTTCTATAAACATCAGGATTTCCAGGGCCGCTCCCTCATTCCTATGACAATCTCCCACATTAATGCCTGGAGATTTAAATGCTTACACACAGACAGGGCAGACTCCCTGCACTACCACCAGTAATATTCTTCAAACCCATAATATGTGTCCATTCCCTGCCCCCTACAGAACACAATGTCTCACTTACTGCTCCCAGTAACCCTAAAAGGAATGTCCTCTCACACAGACGAGGTTCCCAAGGGTCAGCACCTGGCACCAGATCACCTAGGACAAGGCAGCGCTGGGATGTGAGCCCAGGGACTTGAGTCTTAAGTCGAGCTCTAGGTACTGCATCTACTGCCTAGACAACCTCAGCTTCTTCCCTACTGGAATCTACCAGATGCCAACACTCTAGTACCCAAGCTTGAAGGCTGTTCATTGTGGTTTCTAGCTGAATGCAAGCAGGAAGGCACAGACCTCAAAGATGGGAGGACAGCAGAGCAGCAGAGGGGCGGGTGGGGCTACTGCTTGGGAAATCCCCTTCCCAGCCCACTTGTTTCCCTACCTGGAGCGCTCCTCTTGGCTCAGGACTGTAGGGAGGAAAAAGAGAGACCTCAGAGAAAAGAAAAGCCACAAGCAGTTGTCAGCTGGGGACCAAAGAAAGAGGAAGACTAGGCCAGGGCAGGAGGAGAGCTGACAGAACATCCCTGGACTAGCCCTTTGGGTACCTGAGAAGGAGGCAGATGACAAGGCCAGGGCGGAAGAGAGCTTTCTGATGGAACATTCCTGAACTACCCCTGGTGCTGGGGGGTGGCGGAGAGGGGAGGGGGAAGCAGAGCAGGAAGCCGTGGTTCTCCCCGTGGCCCCACTGCTCATGAGGGGGACCCTCTGTCAGTCCTTTCCCTCTGCATCTGGCAGTCCTTATCTGTAAACACAGGGCAAACCAGAGGAACAGTTTTCCCAGCTCTGATTGTCAAGAGGTGAGTGAGTCTATTCTCAAGAGGGCTTTTCCTTACAGCTAGGTGTCCTCACTCACGGGACAAGTGTTATTGTTGTATTGTGTACCAGTGAGTCACAACTGACTCATAGCTGACCCTCCTGTGGATTTTCAGAGGTAGTTTAACCGCATGGGAGGAGATTGGCCATCCTTCTCCCTATGGCGCAGCTAGTGAATTCAAACCATGTGCCTTTGGGATGGCAGCACAGCTCCTTACCACTAAGCCACCAGAACTCATGGGGTAAGTCGGCAACACAAACTTCCCAAATCTAGAAACATTGGATTTCTGGCGGGTTCCTGCTTATACTAGGTTAACAGTGAAAGGTCAGTGGTTTGAACACATTCAGCAGAGACGCAGAAGAGAGGCCAAGTGAGCTGCTTCCATAAAGAATCAACTCCACTCATGTCTTGGATAAAGTGTAACCGGGTCCTCCTTAGAGGCAAGGATGGTGAAGCCTCCTCTCACATATTTTGGGCACCTTGCTAGGAGGGACCAGTGCTTGGAAAAGGGTATTTTGCTGGGAAAGGTGAAGGGTTAGTATAAGAGAGGAAGCTTCCAGGTAGCTGGACTGCCACAGTGACTGTAACAGTGGGCTCTGGTGTATCAGAGTCGGTGAGGAAGGCACAGGGTAGGGCAGGGCTCGGATCCCTTGTGCATAGGGCTGCTACAGTTGCAGTGGATTCAATGGCAGCAGCACTGCCGTTCAGTTGGAAATGACTCCTCGCTGGCTCTTCGGAGGGTTTCTGAGGCTGTCAATCACAAGGAAGGAGACTGAGTCCTTCTTCCTTCTTTGGCTGGTGGATTCTAAGTGCCAGAGAAGCACTGTCCTTGGGTTAACAGTACAGCCCCCTATGGACTACCCCACCAGACTCCAGCCACGAAGGCCCTACGGAGCCGCTGGACTCAGTAACCCCTGGTGGGCAGAGCCAGAACAAACCTGACAGCCACACATTTGGGGTGTTTTTTTTTGGGGGGGAGGTTTAATTTTTTTCCCCCCTAGATCAGAAAACTAAAGGCTGAAAAAAATAACTCAGCACATGCAACCATTTGTATGTAGCACAAAACACTGGGAGTCCAGGGATTATCTACAAATGTGAATCTGGCTACTGTGACTCAGATGTCCAGAGTCCATTAATATTAGGATTCACCAATAAATTTAAATTTCTGAATGTAAATTCACACTTCAGCACAGAAGCTCTGATTAATTACAATCTCTAAGCAGTCTGGAAGCATCTAGTTAAACCTTCCCTGATCCTGTGCTGCTCTACTGGATGTTGAACAGTGGACAACAGTAGAAATAAAGAGGAAAACCATCAGCTAGGGTGTTTTAGGAAAGAAATCTGATGGACGCGGCTTTTTTTTTACTGCTTCAAGAAGGAAACAAAGGAGGTTTCTAGCTATTGAAAATAACAATTATACATAATAAATTTAACAGCACTGTAACAATTATAATACCTCCAAATATTGAAATAGACAGAACAGCAATATATCTAAATTATGTCTGTCAAAACTTTTAGGATCAAATATAGCTATTTAAACAGGAAAATATTAAGTGACCAGTTAACTCCACTGAAGTATTAAGGGCAATTAGGTAGTATGACTTGATAGCCCCTAACAACAATAACAACACACTCAAACAAAACGGAATAACACACACCTCCTAATTTCAGACTAAATAAGGAGAAAGAAATTCAGAGAGTATTTTATGGTTTTCAGAATCTGTTAAAAGAAAAGGGGATAGAATTTGGGTTTTATTTTATATTCTATATCATTCTAATAATTCTGTGAGAATAAAAATCTAGCTGATTTCATAAAAAGGTGAGATAAGCCACCCTAGGTCACATAGCTAGCACCAGGTCAGGATTCAAACCCAAGCCTTAGTTCAAAGCCTCGTGTGCCATGACCATGGTACTGCATTGCTCACTGGTTTCTCAAAGCTTCCTGCTTCCTTCTTCCATGTCCACAGTGGTTCTCGGATACAGCAGCGCGAGCGTTCCTATGGTTACGTGTACATCAATTTGTGTGGTTGTGAAAGGCAGAGCCCAGGTAAAGACTTCTCCTGGTTAGGAAGCTGCTGCCAGCCACAGTGGGGCCCATGACTATCCGCCTACGGCTTTGGCAGGGAGGAATCCAGGAGGGAAGAAGAGAAGGAAGGGCGGGACAGGGAAGGTAGCAGAAGCTTGGAGGGACAGAGAGGTGGGGAGACAGCACAGCAGACCAGCCGGTCAGCACTCCGACCCCACTCCAGCTCCCCCATTCCTTAACAAATGACCCTGGGAATACTACCTAACTTTTCTCAGCTCAGGTGTTTTTGTGTGTGAACTGGGGACCATAAAAGTGACAGCTATAGGGGGTGGTCTGAATGAGGATTAAATGACATGACACAAACGAGTCACTTAGGACAGGAGTTGGCACACAGCGATCCATCTCAGAACAGGAGCAATGGTGATGCCTGTTAGTAGCCACCAGCCAGCCACCTCCTGTGCTGTGCGCAGCCCTGCAGGGAGGACTGACCGACAGCCACAGGTTCCTGAGGGCAGCAGGGTGGCACTCACGGAGGCCGAGCAGGCCCAGTCCAGGCTTAGCTATTCCAGAGTCCAGAATCTTGTGTCCTTTTATCTCTGATTTGAATATTGATAGACTTTCAGTTTTTCAGCCCAAGGCATCATGAAAACGTTTAGTTATGCTGGGAACTCTGGTTGAGAAAGTGAAGAACAGTATGGCCATATTTCTGCTAACAATTATTTCAAGTGAATATTCCAGAATGAAGGGTTATCTGGAGACCAGGGAGAGAGCTGGCAGGGCCTGGAGAGAGGGGACCTACCTTTAGGTGCTCCATCTTCTCCTGCTGGCTCAGCACGTCCCTGTCGGCTGCATCTGAGGGTGCAGGGGGCTGGCTGGGAGGGTTCATGAAGTCCCGGGTGACCTCCTCGGACAGCTTGCAGATGACCTGCTGCTTGGCCTGGTTCTTGTCCAGGAGCAGCTTCACCTGCTGCTGCAGCTCCTGCATGTGCTGCCGCAGCTCCTGCGTCTGCTGCTCCCGCAGGCTCGCCGTCTGCGCCAGGCTCTCGCGCTCCTGCTCCAGGGCCTTCACACGGCTGCTCAGCTCCGCGATCTGCCGCACCTTGTGCCGCACCAGCTCCAGCCGGTCCTTGTCCCCAGCCGCCATCAGGTAGGCGCTGGAGGCCCTCTTCTCTTGCTGGGCAGCCTCCAGTGTCTTGTGCAGAATCTTCACCAGCTCCTGGGTGGGCAGAGAGAGGTGCCTTGTGAATTCAGGGAGGGATCTCTTAGGTGCCACAGGTGGGCCGTACATGACCACCAGTTATATCAAAACAACTGGAGGTGCAGTCAGTGTCACCGCTCCTTGGGGATCTCATCACGAGACCCACTTTCTATTTAAAAGTGTTTTCAGTCAGACACAGAGTCCCCCAGCTAAAGACTACACTTCCAATTTCATCTTCTGCCTAATGGGATATGAGAAGTAACAGGGACAAATTCTGTCATACCTTTATAACCTGCCAGCGACATGGCCCTGCCTTCCTTCCTGCTGGCTGAAAACGGCAAGGATCCAACAGGGACCCACCAGCAGGGTGCTTCACCCACTCAGAGCTGCTCACTGACCTCTGGACTTGTCGCTGTGTAAGGGAAATAAACTCCTAACTTGTGTCACGACACAGCCTTTGAGGCTTCTAGTTACAGCAGATTAGTTCCATTTTAGAGATGAGCACATTGAGGCCAGCAGAGCAGAGTGGAACTGAATCCTCAACCTTCCTGATGCAACGCCTGCACTTGGTCAGTAATAAAGCCAGGATGGCGTTCAAGTAGCTCAGGTGTACCGCTCTTTCCTCTGACTTCTGTGGGAAATGGTACTAATGGCCCTCTGCACGACTTCCTGCCAAGCCTAGACCACATCTCAGTCGTTCCAACATAGGACCCAAGCTGTCATTATCAAGTGAGTTGAGATGGCATTGCTGTGTTATTGTTAAGTGCCATCAAGCTGTCTACGACTCAGCAGCCCTATGGATCTGAACCTTGCCCTGTCCTGTACCATCCTCATCCTTTCTGTCATACTGATGACATTAGAGAGGGGGAAGTGCTAATGCCCACACTAAGGCATATCCAGAAAGCCTTATTTAATCCATTTGTGCCCAGTGCGCCAGGCTATGCTTACACGGCTGGTGTCAGGACGTGTTCAGAGTCCTACAGCAAAGCCCTTAGCAAAGTCATACAGCTCTCCTGAAGTGTAGCCGCGTCATTTTTAAAAGAACTGAACTGCTGTGGCCTAGGCTGGAGAGGTTCATCTGAGAGGTCCTACTTCCGGTGGTCCTGGTAATACACCAGCTTCCCTTCTCATTCTGGTCAAGAGCAGAGAGCCTAGGGAGCCAAACCTTGAGCTTCCAGGTGGATCAAGTGCCTTTGTGGAAGAATAAATCAAGGTCTGTTGCTTAACTCCTCAGGCCTTGAGGAGTCTTGCTTCAAAGAAGGGGCATGGCTTTAATCAGGATAAAGACACCTAAGGTCAGACTATCAAAAGATGGGCAGCCTGTGGGCCAGCCCCACATGTACCTCAGCCCTGGCTATTAATCCCAGAGGCAGGGCCTTCTACTCAACTGTGGAGGTCTATGCCAGCTAGTATCTCATGATATCTGGAAGAATAAGTCAATTGTACCCACCCCAGAGTATTTAAAGAAACAGTTCCGTTGGAAAAGTTATTTGAACAATTCCAAAAGAAATGCCAAAGGTCATGACTAGAATACATGATTACATTTCCTTTAATACTTTAGAACTAGTGCCAGGTTTTTCTTTACTTTCTTTCTTTTTTAAAAAAAAATTATTTCTTTTTAATTTTGCATACCATCAAATTGGATCCAACAGGAGGAGTTTGCTCCTCCTTCTCCAGTGGAGCATCTGGTGGATTCGAACTGTGCACCTTTGGGAGTACAATGCAGCTTCTTGCCACTAGGCCACCAGTGCTCTGACCGGGTTTCTTTTGTTCATTCATTCTCTCATCGATGCATCTAATCTTCATCAGAGCAGCAGTGGTGGCCTAGAGGTAAGGAGTTGAGTTGCCAACCTAAAGGTACACAGTTTGAATCCACCAGTTGCTCCTTGGGAGAAAGCTGGGAAATCTTCTCCCCTGTGCTTTACAGCCTCTGTAAACATGCTGGCCAGTCAGCTATGAATCTCTTCCAACTTGATGACACCAGTTATGAGCATCCAGTTAGTGTCAGGTTCCTGCCTCCAGGCATCAAAAAAGTAGGTGAGAGGGAAGGTGAACTCCTGCAAATAGGCAGCAGTGTGCAGTAGAAGGGAACCAAGGGGGATTGTGGGAGCCCAGAGCAGGGAGACCTCTGCCTTGTGTGGGATTAGGGAGATAGGCACATTCTACAGGGAGGTGAGCAGTTTAAACTGAGCCTTACAGAGAAGAGGCCAGAGATGGTCAGGTATAGGAAAGAGGTAAGAGTGAGAGGTGAGACATGAGGACTTGACAGGGTGCTGGAGCAAAGGGAGAAAGAAAGATCAAATGGGCAATAGTGAAGTCCCTGGGTGTGGCTGGAAGGTGGGGTGGGGAAAGGCTGAAGCCAAAATGGAATGCTTGGAATGAAAAGGTCAGCTTCTCAGGCTCAGCAGAGAGAGATTAACATTCCAGGGGCTCCAGGATAGTCAAGATAACTAAGTTTAGAGGTTTTTTTCTGGTTCAGCCAAGATGTGGAGATTAATCTGGGTGACTGCCTTTTCCTGGGGAAATAACTTATGGACACCACTGTTCAGACTTGCCTTGGATCAGACACGTATGATGCCTTCAAACCATGAAGGAAGCACCCACTTCATTACATCAAACTGTCTTCCCACTCCACCCCTGGACTTCAAAATCCCAGACCAAGGGATTCAGGAGCCTCTCCCCTACTCCAGAAACCCTGCTCCATAATGGGACAGGTTAACAGGGCCAGGAAGAAGAGGTGGAGCCCAGTGGGACAGGAAAATGAGGAGCTGGGAACGAGTGCTGGATTTGTAACCCAGAGCTTGCAAAAGCTTTTCGGACCTTTTGGCCTAATCACTTTGCTGTTGTTACCGTCACTGAAGCTCAAGAAAGGAGAAGGACTAAAAAAAAAAAAAAAAAGAAAGGAGAAGGACTAAAAGGACCACGATCAACCCCTGTTTGTGAGAAAGCTGTGTCTCGAACAGCTTCAGGACCCTTTCATCCTGTCAAGTAGTTACGGATTTGACAATAAAATGCTTCCTGCAATAGCTTTAAAAAATGGAAATAGTTGCACATCTATTCCTTACCAATAGTGATTAAGATTGCACATTATTTAAACAGTAAAAAAAGTCTCCTATCTGACTATCTTATGCATTGATGAGGCAGCGGGCATAGGGGCAAGAGTTTCGGAGCACAGTCTCCCTCCACCAGGGTTCTGGGAGCCTTGGGAGAGCTGGGCTGAGCCTCCTGTAGACCTCCGTCACGTCACAGAGCAGACTTTATCCAGTATCGTCTCCTTCAAGTCTCCCTACAGAGTCACAATCCAAAACTGAACTCAGCACCGTGATAAGCACATTGGTAAATCTTAGCTGCTATTATTTTATGATCACATTTTCAAAATAAAAAAAAACAAAACCAAAAAACCCAAAACACTAAAGAGAACAAATGGATGATCTGGAAGTACGCAGTTGGTGGGGGGAACCCTCCATTCCCCCATACCACCAACTTTCACATAACCACCTGGTCTTTGGAACCTAGCCCTGTTGATAAGAAAGAAATGGGTGCATTGGTTTTTTCTGATCATAAAAAGCCTCATGCTTCTTACAAACAAATTTGACTTCATGAAAGAATAAAGAACTGGACTCAGAAATAAAAAAAAGAAGAACTCACTCTGAATTTCTCAATCTATAAAATCAAGCCATGAGTTATAATACTGAAAGATGCTATAGGCAACATTTTCAATGATCCAGGAAGTATCAAAAGATGGAAGGAATACACAGTCACTGTACCAAAAAGAAATAGCTGACAAAGAATCTTTTTAGGAAGTAGCATATGATCAAGAACCAATGATAATATAGGTGGAAATTCAAGCTTTTGTTGTTTTTGTTATGTGTCGTCGAGTCGCCTACGACTCATAGCGACCCTATGTACAACAGCCCTAAATTCCACTCTGTCCTGTGCCAATCACACCGTCTCTGACACTCCCATCCCAATTATCCCAGTCACTGAATCAATCCACCTCATAGAGGGCCTTCCTCTCCTGCGCTGTCCCTCCAAGCTACTCTGAAAAAACTGGCAAAAAATAAGTCCCCAGGAATTGATGGAATACCAATTGACATATTTCAACAAAGCGATGCAACCCTGAATGTGTTGACCACGTTGCACCAAGAAATCTGGGGGACAGTTACCTGACCAATTGACTGGAAGAGATCCGTCTTTATTCCCATTCCCACCCCCTGCTTAAAAAAGTGACCAAATAGAATGTAGACATTGTTGAACAATATCACTAATATCACATGCAAACAAAATCTTGCTGAAGATTAGCCAAAAATTACCAGAACAGTACATGGACAGAGAATTGCCAGAAATATAAGTTGGATTTAGAAGAGACCGTAGGGATATAATTGCTGATTTCAGATGGATCTTGGCTGAAAGCAGAGAGTACAACAAGGCAGAGGATATCTATTTGTATTTTATCAGCTATGCAAAGGCATTTGACTGCATGGATCATAAGAAATTGCAACAGACATTGAGACCAATGGGAATCCCAGAACATTTGATTGTGCTCATGCAAAACCTATATGTAGACCAAGAAGCTGTTGTCTGGACAGAGCAAGGGAACACTGCACCATTCAAAATAAAAAAAGAAGTGCATCAGGTATGTATCCTTTCTGTACAACTTTTCAATCTATATGATATACAGATTATTTGTGAGGCTGGACTTTATGAAGAAGAATGTGGCATCAGGACTGGAAGAAGACTCATCAAAAAACTGCATTATGCAGATGATGCAACCTTGCTTGCTGAAACGGAGGAAGACTTGAAGTGTTTGCTGCAGAAGATAAAGGAATGTAGTCTTTAATATGGATTGCATCTTCACATCAAGAAAAGGGCCCTACCCCCAGGTCAAGAGGCAGCATCATGATAGAGAGGTAAAAGATTGAAGTTGTTAATGATTTCATCTTGCTCAGATCCACAATCAACATTCTTGGCATGAGCAGTCAGGAAATCAAAAGACAAGTTGTATGGAAAAATCTGCC